CTTATTCTATCATTTTCATGCACGCCATTTAAGCTACATTTTCTTGCACGCATGATGTGTTAGATCAATAAATCCTGGTCTGTTTGAAAAAAAACGTAGACGTAACTTTATTTAATAAAACTACACGTAAATTAAAGCAATGGTATTTACAATAGTGTACAGAGTATGAAACAGTTATGAACTTTCAGTGTATAACACAGTTTTAGAAGTTGAAACAAAAAACTCACAAAAATGAAGAATAAAATCAAGAAAATCAAAGAAAAAGTAGCTAAAAGATGTTCATAGCAGTCTGTGAAACGAACCGAAGCTAAATTATTGGAAAGTAAAGTTGTAATAAAGACAAATTTAGCTGAATATACAGAAACGTCTAAATGTTTGTTCACAAAGTGATAACCATATGGTTTTGAACGAAGTAAGTCGAGAAAGCCCATATAAATTGAATTCAGTGTAATGTTAATTTCTAAGGAATTTACTCACGATTTAATTGTTATTTGTGTGAAATACTTTGCAAAGAAAACAAGTTGAAATCGAAGCCAGTCTTCACCTGATGACAACGACATTGTGTCATCGGGTACCATACTCGTTGCATCGAAAGGTTTGACTAAGCAAAAAGTACGTAAGTTGATTCTGAATGGTAAAGCCAATATACAATACGATCAGTTAACTAAATAAATGAAGGAGATGAATAGATGAATACGTCAGTGAACATTTGATGTGTTAATAAAAAACAAAACAATTGAATTTAGTTCTTTAATAGTTGTACAAATATATAATTACTAATCTAGGTGATATGGTTCCGTTTTGTTGTTAAGTACAAAACTACACAATAGTGTTATCCGTGCTGTCCTCACCACGAGTATCGAAACACGAACTTTAGCGTTATATGCCTTCAGACTTACCGTGTTATCTGTACTGTCCCAACCGCGAGTATCGAAAACTGATTCTTAGCGTTATAAGCTCTCAGACTTACCGCTTAGTCACCGATCCGTTTTTACTGTGTTTTGTCCTTGCCAAATGTTTAATACAGAAAAACAAAAACTTTCTTACAAACACATTTCTCATCAAATCTTACCGGAAGTATGGAGTTTTTGAACTCGGAGATAAGAACCTTTACAGGCCGTTGGTAGGTCAAGGTCGAAATCATTGCAAAACGAAAAACTTTCTTACCTCGACCCCTAGCGGAACGTTTAATAACTACCGGCAGCTGGTTTGAAAAGATCTGCATTTCTCTTCTTTATCTGAGTCAGACATTTAGGTTTAGTAACTTGTTGACATCCTGGTTAACCCTAAATCCGAAGTTACATCTTCATTTCACCAATATATTGTTTATAAATCATGTGTAGACGTAAGTATTATAGATTTCTAAGTATTGGATCGAAACGCACGCGTTACACAAGAAATAAATCAAGGTTTAAACGCCGAAAGCTAGCAAAATATTGGAGAACCAACTGACATAAAAAATATTACAAAACAAGTTAATTGTAGATGTTTTTTTACCCACACATTTTTCTTAATTCACCCATTTCGACTCGAAATCAAAGGTCTGAAATGCTATTTTTCACGCACAACTGCTTTAGAGCTGCAATGGATAAACAAAGATCTTGTTTTCATAACGAGAAACAAACAACACATTGACGTCATAAATGTATTTTAGATTAAAATATTCTAAGTACTTTGATGTCTAAACCAGAGAGATATTCTCAGTATTTACAGGCATGAGCTAAACATCCATTCCAAACTTTGTCAGGGGGCGTTGGTGTTCTGATATACCTGTTTAAAGCATATTTGTAGGGTTTTTAACCAAGTAATATCAGTACAACTGTTTATGGTGAAGTATATTTTCAGGGTCTTTAATCCAATAATACTG